ACCTAGAGATTTGTGTGAGGCAGAAGTGTTTTTGGTCAAAGGTTCAGAGAGCCAAAGAGAGAAAGGAAAAATTTATAATGACTGGCTAGAAAACTGGACAGCACAGCTATGCAAAGGCAGGAAGCAGAACTGAGCCAGGAGACATGGGTTCTGACCCAGGTGCAGGCCCTGGTGGCTCAACTGTGCTAAGGCTGGGCCTCTTCCCTAACCGGCTCTAGCAGCCCTTCCTCTGGGAAGGCTTCCTTGACCATTCTCTCTGCCCCAAGAGCTTAGGATTCCTTCCCGCAGACTGAGTTTTTATGACATTTATCTTTTTTCTTTCAAGATCTTATTTGAGAGAGAGAGAATGAGAGAGCAGAAGCAGGGGGAGCGGCAGAGGGAGCAGAGAAGCAGGCTCCCCATTGAGCAGGGAGCCCGACGCTGGGGATTGATCCCAGGACTGTGGGATCATGACCCGAGCCAAAGGCAGACACTCTGAGCCACCCAGGCGCCCCTGTGACATTTATCTTAACCTCACCTCCCAGCGGCTACTACAGTTAACATGTAGTTTTCTTCCAATTTTTTTTTCTTGGAGACAGCCTATTTCAGTTTCTACCTTGAAAGATCCTGAGGCTATCTCCCATCTCTCTGGGGGCATTCAAACCCTAGCCCCTAGCCTCTATGGCCCATCTGTATCTATGCCCAGTGTCTTGGGTGGGGGTCACTGTGACTTTGATATCCAATTACCTTCAGAATGAATTCTTCTGTCACCTGGGAACTTCCATTTCTTTCTTTGAAATTGGCTATTTAAAATAAATTGTTATTTTAGCCAGCATCCTTATGTATTTAGAGCAGGAGGTTAGGTGGCTACCTGCTTAGTCTACCATGTTGACTGGCAATCTGATTTTTCCAGGAACTCTTTTTAGAAACAGTTGCCCATACATATAGTTTTGTTTCTCACTTTTCTATTTGACAAGAACACATTTCCCCTTGGGTTTATGTCTCATCTCTTCCAATCTCCACTGTTTAGCACAGGGCTGGGCTCATGAACACCAACTAATGTTTGTTGAAGGGCATCTGACATAAACAAATGAACTCTGGAAAGACCAGTCAATAAGGTGAGTGTGTAAGGAACCCTGGGCTGAGGGGGATGGAGCAGAGTGGGTGAGCGGGGAACAGAAGAAGGTGTGCATCAGAGTGTGGAGAACTGTGTGTATGTAAGCTTCTTCACAGGAAATTCACTGTGGAGTTCCGAGAACTTTTCACACAGAAAAAAGCAATGTCGTCCTCTTTCCTTTCTAGATAAGTCTACAAATGTTTATCTATAGCTGAGACTGACTCACAGGGTGGGATCAGGAAACCACTTACCAGTTGCTGCTTTTCCTTTTTCTTCTTTAGAGAAGGCAAGAAAACTGTCAAAGCAGATGATGCAAGAATGAAGCTGACTCAGAAATACTCAATCCCCTCAGGAACTTCTCCAAGAAAAGGATTGGCCATTTTATTAGCTCCCATCTGGAGGCATTACATTGAGACCACTAAGAATCCCTGGTGATTACGGCCACAGGGAGGCAAATCCACACTGTAATTTGCTACACTGCAAGAATATTTAGTTTTCAGTAGACAAATTAAAAATTCAAAGGAGATAGAGTGATAATCTTAGAGGGAATTAGTGAAATGGGGTGGGAACAGACAAGGCAATGTTGGCGTTCATGCAAATTACAAACGACTTTCATCGTTGAAAATCGGTCACATTTAATGGATGGATTTTTTTTTTCTTAAAGAAAACACGTTACCATCATCTACTGTGAAATTGAGGGAATGAATGCACCAACCTATGGCATCCCTATACACGTGATGTTCGCTTTCTGCACATGAATCTGCACAACTGTACAATGGAAATGAGCATTTAGTCCAACTATAGTGTGTGCCAGGCACTTTCCAAACACTTATCATTGAATGTGAACCACCACCCTATGAAAACAGGTATTTAGACCCCAATTTTACAGATGAAGAAAGTATTAGAACATCTGGGGCAGGGAGGAAGAGAAGAGGACATGATCAGGAAATAAAGGGCAAAGGGAGCTTAACCTGGGCAGTAGGCTCACAGGTGTGTTATATAGCCTCAGAGAGGTTAAGTAACTGACCCCAAACCACACACCCAGACAGAATTCTGTTTAGAACCAGGACATCTGCAGTTCTTCTAGGTTACTTCTCTGAAGTGGTTCAATTTAGCACAGAATCATAGTAGGGTACAAAATCTAGAAATAGTACTTGAATACATTGACTCCAGAGCCAGACTATCTTGTGACACTCTCTATACATCTATTTTACTGTGAGAATAGTCTGAATTTCATATTATTATACACAAGTGGTGGAAAGCAGGGCTGTTAGCATCAAAGTCTACGAAATTGATCAGGATCATTGCTTAGTCTTCAGCCACTTTTATTTCACCAAGGGCTGATTAAATAAACATTTTCAGTCTGACCCATGACTTATAATTACAGCTGCAAACTTAAGGGCAAGAGTCTTCTGACCTTGAGATGCTCTTTATGCAATAATACGTACTTCCATTACTTACTGTGGGGGGGTGTGGGAAGGTGGAAGTGGGAGTGGAGCTGGAATTACCTTTGACTGAGCATCTGTTATGCACCTGGTATGGTGCTAGGCATTTTCCATGTGCTACTCTATTCAATCCTGAGGGATATTGGTGCACTTTAAAAAAAAAAAAAAGAGTTTTTATGAGGATGCACAGATTAGTAAGATATATAAGGTCAGCAGGGAGCTTACATGTAGGCGGGGAGAGACAATAATACAATACAAAGCTCAGGTGTTACAAGACAGAGGGGAATGGGAGTAGTGATGGCAGTAGGGGGAAGGAGGCTGAGGGGACTTGAGATTGGGTGAATATCTGCTTGGATCAAGGTTTTTAGACTTGTTTTTTGAGGAGGGAACCAGGGACTACTTTACTTCAAAGACCTTTTGGTTAACTTTTTCCTCAAGCAGGAAAAGGCCCTGGGGAAGACAGCCTCTCTAGCAAGCATGTCCCATGAGGAAAATCAGCCACAGTCCCTGGAGCTGAGGCACAAGGGAGGAGGAGATCACCAGCTGGGGGCAGGCAAGGACTGATGGCTGAGCAAATATTCAACCCAACCCTAATCTTGGGAGAGAATCTGCTGGTGGGAGTCTGTAGGCAGTGGTAAAAAAACTAGATTCTTCAGGAGATGTTCAAATGGTCAGTTCTAATTATAACCACACTTGACAACAGGTGAGGCAAGATGAAATTTAAAGACTGAGAGGAAATGAAAATTCCCCAATCTGTCAACCAATCTCCAATTTTCTCGACTATTTTAGGACTATGGTAATTAGCCGTACCCCGAAGACAATTTTACAAAATAGATTCCTCTGTCTCTAACAGGCCCACTCTAGCAATTTAGTCTTCCTGTCTCATGTATAAAATGGAAATAAAATTAAAGTTCATGAAAAGTTAGGGTTAGAGATTACACAACAGTTCCTCTTAAACCATGTCTCAACTCCCAATATTAATAACAAGTGGATGTCATAAAACAGTACGCAGTGAACATTTAAAGGAAACTAGAAGTCTGAGATAACAGCATTTCCTGATTTCAATTTTTAAAAACTGTGGTTAAATGAGAATGATCAAATGGCAACTCAAGTATATAATCTTGCAGAATTGGCTCATTTGGCACTGAGAAGTAAACTTTTTCACCTCTTTTACCAGCCCTTTGAACAGTTTGTTTAAGCTACCAAATATGTTCCTATAAGCTCTCCAGAACATCTTGAAGTCAGGACTCTGCAAGTTGCCTCCAGGGCTAAGGTATCTCCAAGGCTGACCGTCCACAGGGCTTACTACCATTCACTCGACACCGATCTTTTCTGCAATTGAACAAAGCCGTCTCTGTGGACCTTTTTATTTAAGCACCAAACTTTCTAAAATCAGTGTTAGAGCTGAAAAGGAACTCAGAAGACACCTCACCCAACCTCACCCTGACCGAGCAGAGGACGAGGAGGTCCAGAGAATGGATTGTATCGTGAATCACTTGCAAAGTCAGGACCCAGAACCAATCCTCCATACCAGGGCAATTAGGTTTATCAAGAGCGTAGCAGGTGCCAGATACTTGAAATTTACTCTCATTCAATCCCAAGAAGGCAGTGGCCCCATTTTATAGATGATGAAACAGATTCACAAGTTACGTAACTTGCCAAGTAGCCCAGTAAGTGACAAGGGCAGGAATGAAACCAATCCTGTTTAGCAACAACACCATGCTCTCTTCACTGACTCTTCAGGTCAAAAACTTCCAGACTTCAGTGCTCCTCAACCAATCTTAATCCATCCCATTTCACATCTCCATCAACCCAAAATTAAATTCAAAGCACACGAAAGCTAAGCCATCTATCACACACGGTGTCGGTTGGAGAAGCATACTGCTCAGGCTGCAGGGACATTTCATTTGTTTAAATGTTTTTATTTAAAAAAAATTAAAGACCTTCATGGCACAACTTCTTCCCAGCACAGTTATGTTTTAGTTATACCAATTACAATACAATTACAACCAATAAATCAAGGGGGCGAGGGGGAACTTCTGACTTCAAACTTAAAAAAAAAGGGGGGGAGCCACTTCAAACAAAGTTAAAAAAATACTTAAAAAACCTTTCAGAGTAATTGCCAACACAACTGTCTTATATTGGCATTCCATTTCCTGCCATCTAATCAATGCAGACACAGGTAGTGCTGAGAAATAAAGTGTCCCAATACAAGGTATACAGATGAGGTAATTTACAACAACACAGAAGTTGTTACTCTGTAAACCCTTGCCCCCCACCCACCCACCCAACTGGGTCTTCTTTTTTTCATGCTTCTGCAGTGACTCCTTAAGTAGCATTTTAAAAACTTCTATTTATTTTAAAAGGTTCTTGGGTGGCATTTCAGAGTCCTCTGCATTCACCTTCCGTCTCTTGCAAGGTCTGATGTGTTTTTAGGAGGTCCAGCTGTCTGCAGCTCCCCACATCAACCTCAGCCACAACATTCTCTGAGCTCTAAGGGTGGGATGTGAAGTCTCGATTTACAACCCTCCTCCCCACCTCAAAAGAAAGAATTCATTAGTCGTAAGTGTCCTGTTCAAATCACAATCCAGTGCAAACGTAATCACAAATTGCATCTCTGGCACATCCGGTGCTTTTAGCTTCTGCACAAATTCAACATGGTAACCCCCACAGCATTCTAGGGCATAAAAGGGTCAAGAACAATAAATATCCACTGTTAAGTGGCCACAAGAAAGAAAATCACCCTGCCACACAGGGTGTGTGTGGCATGTTTTCCCTATGGTTGAGAAGCATTATAAAAGGAGGCTTTAGCTTCCTCTAAAGTTTACCGTTATATTCACGAAAGCCACCACCTTGATCAAGTTACTAGAGCCAAGATGGGTTATAAAGTTAGATAAGTTCATTAAATTCAACTCGTGAAACAATTATGCTTGTCTATGGCGCCCAGGCGAGAAAGGCTTATGATCTATAAAGGTAGGAGAAAGGGGAACTAAGACTTTAGGCCTTCAAATATGTTGGAAGAATTTTTCCTAGTTCCCACAAGCAGCTACTGTAATGAAACAGGAGAAATACAGAGCTGATGGTTTTGCTATTGTGCTTAAAAAACTAGGCTTCCTCAGTGAAGCACCTGATAAACTTAGGTGGTTGGATTACAGTGGAAAATCCACTTTACACACACACAAACACACAAAAACTGGCGACTTTTCCATCCCCAATCCCTGCACTGCTGAGACACAAAATGAGTTTTATGGCAAAGGATCCTTAATCCCCAGAGACGCTTTGGCTTGTGGTGCTTTTTTAAGGCCTCTCTGCCCTGCCCGGTACCATGGGTCGAATGAGGGGATGTATAAAAATGGGGGCCTTGGGAAGCCTCCACGGTACAGGGTTGCAGGCCCCTCAGATGTGAACGTGAGACACCCACCCAGCGAGACCTTTACACAGGGAACTTAAATCTAACCTTGATAAATAAAACCAAACGTTTATTTACACCAAAGAATTCCAACACTGGATCTTTCACATATGAAGGACAAAGTATTATATATATACACACAGCAAGGGGTGGCAGGGCTGTAACAAGAGAGTTTATAGTTTTCCCACAATTACAGGTCTACCATTTCAGTTTCACTGGAGATAGTGGCTCTGCTCCTACCTCTCAGATACATTTACAAGACTGAGGGGCAGGTCTTCTCACTGGATGGCATGTGAAGGAAGGGGAAGAAAGGAAGAAAAGAAGGTAGAAAGCTTAAGATGAAACTCGGCGTGGCCACATCTTCCATTAGCTCTTAAAGAGTTGCTAGCATGAAACCTATATAGACAATGTTTTTCTTTTGTAAAAAGCAATAAGTTAAGCCCAGTAACTAACTGAATTCAAAATGGCCAAGTCAAAGAAAACTGAAAAAGAATTTTCCTCTCCCTCCCCCCAGCTATAGAGCACATAGGGAGACGACAGGGGAGAGGGCCAAGGTAAGGAGCCCAGGAGGGAAGGTATTATAATCTTAAACTGAACTGGAATTAAAAGTAGAAGTGAGCTGGATTTAGGGTTAGGTCAATAAGACATGATTCATACTGAACAGACGTTTTCAGGACCTGTCTGCACTTTGGGTAGATTTTCAGCATCTCAATGAAACTAAGACATATTTCCACGAGATTCACCAGGACAACCCCACTGAAGCACTTGGAGTAGTGTGAGAAAAGTGACCAGCAGTACACTGCTCTTGTAGCTTGGGCCCTCCCTTCCTCCTTCCTTCCCACCTCCCTTGAAGAAGCTAAAACATTTTTGTAATCTCTGGAGAAGAGCATGAGATATAAACCCCCCATAGTGTGGGATGGTGGGGGAGCAATGGTGGACATGGGAAGATATCTCCACCCAAATGCAGCAGCCGGGATTGAGGCTGGTTCATCTTTGTTCTTTAGTGATGAGAAACTGAATTTGAAAGGGGGGGAAAATTTTGTCCGTGAAATATTCCACCTGCAGGTAATTTTTCAGGGAATCCCCTGAGTTATGAAAAGTTCGAGTTAAAAAAAAGAAGGAAAAAAAAAAAAAGAAAATCAGCCTATTATAATTTTTTTTTTTATGACTGAACTACTATAAATCCACAAGCAACGGTTCAGACACGGTGCTTCTGAAGTATTTCACCCCTCCCCGCCAGGCGCAAGCTGCATCAAGGAGAGCGCGGACTCCCCCACCTCTGCTCAGGCATCAGGAGACAGAAGGGGCCATTACTGTTGAGCGCCTGCGGCAGCTGGAACAGGCATCCCAAGGGGGTTGGCCGCAGCAATCACTGGTGAGCCTGCCAGAGGTCCAAGGGGTGAAGGGGTTGGCACTGAAGAAATCCCTAAAAGAAAACAGCTAATAGTGAGCCAGATATCAACCATGGAAATCTTAGTCACCAGTTTTACATAATACCTATTTCAAAAGTGACACAAGTTATTTTTTCTCTCTCTGTAATCTCTACACCCAACATGGGGCTCAAACTTACAACCCCAAACATCAAGAGTTGCAGGCTCTTCTGACTGAGACAAGCCAGGAACTCCACGAGTGCTTTTTCTGAAGGCCTCTACTCGCCCAGATTTTTACACATTAAATCTAATTTCAAATTAAAATTAATTTCTAATCGATTTAGGAGACAGGTAAAGAAATCCAAGCTTGGAGAATTTAAGAAGTCTGTACAAAGGACACAGCGAGTAAGTGGCAACTATGCTTGAATTAAAACTGACGCCTGTCTAGGGCAGAACTATCCAACCAAACTTTCTGCCCTGTAACCTCTGTTAATACAGTGGTCACTACCCATATGTGGCTACTGAGAACTTGCAATATGGCTAGTGCAACCAAGGAGTCGTGTTTTAAATTTTATTCTATTTTAATTAATTTAAATAGTCACATATGGCTAGTCATGGCCCTACTGAAGAGCACAAGGCGGGAGCCAAAGCTCATGCATTCTTATATCATGCTGCCTAGTTAAGCTGGCAGCTTTCAAAATTATCAAGTCATTTTCAGTGAGGAAATGCTAAAATAGTGTTTTAGAATTTATTGCCATTTATTTTTTTCTACTCATCTAATGACCAGAATTACCCTCAATCTGTCCCCCTCAATTATCCAGTTAATTTTCAAATTGTTATATATGTATTTTTTTAAACAGGTAAATATTCACATGGTACAAAATACCAAAGGTTCAGAAGAGTGTATAGTAAAAAAATTTCTCTTGCACTTTTGCTTGGCCAACTTATGGTACCATTTTTGGGGTGTATCCTTCCAGAAATATTTTATGCATATACATGAATATAACTGTGTAAGAATGTGCATATAAAAGTCATATATAAGAATATGATTATATAATTATATATTATGTAACTGTATAAGAATGTGCATATAAAAGTCATATATAAGAATGTGATTATATAATTATATATTATGTAACTGTATAAGAATGTGCATATAAAAGTCATATATAAGAATGTGATTATATAATTATATATTCTTGCCCTGGTCTTGGACATGGTTCTGCATTTTGCTCTTTTCATTTCACATTATTATTTTGGAGTTGGAGCTAAAAAAGAACATGAAACGCTCATTCTTTTCTTTGGCTATACAGCTTTCCACTGAATGGATGTCCCATAATTGATTTAACCAGTTTCCCACTGGGAGCTGTTTTCAATGCTTTGCTATTACAAATAAGCCCTGGATATGTATCATTTTGCCCATAGGCAAGATACCTAGAGGATAAGTTCTAGAAGGTAGCCAGTTCTTAAAAAAACAAAAACAAAACAAAACAACAAAAAACAATTGTGACAATTCTCTGAGGGTGTCTGAGTAAATATACTCACTACCACAAGTACACCCACATGGATGTTGCCTACATGTGTAATTCTTAGGGGTTGAGCCTATGTTGGCTTCCTTTACAAAATTGTGTACTCTGTACAAAAACTCGCTCTTAATTCACGATGACTCAACAATAATGAATAATTTCATATAAGCCTTTACAATTTACTAGGCACATTACAGATGCTCTGGAGAACGATTCTTATGCCTATGTATAAACCCCACCTTTACCCCCACCCCTAATTTCTTAATCTTGTTTGTGAGGTTCATGCAACTACTGTCACTCTAAACTATGAGATGAAAGGATCTCTTTTTACTCTTCATGGTTTGTTGGGACTTTCAAGTCCCTCTGTGAAAAATTTTTGGGACTCTGGCCTAGAAGAGACTGCTGATACCATACGCAGTGTCACTAAAGTATACCAGGTGTCAAAAAGCATGCTGAAGCCTGGTGAGGAGACCACACAGGTCAGCAGTCAGGAAGATAATCATTATGGAAAAGAGAAGGGCCACAAGAAACTAGGCCACAAACAGGGAGCAAACCTAAGAATAACAACTGACTTCTACTTTTGTCCCCCAGGAAAGTTACCAGTGAACTAACCTGACATCATATTGGCGCTGCTGACAGGCGTACTGCCCCCCGGCATGCTAGATGAGCCCATTCGAGCCTGGTCCTTCACAACAGTATCTGGAAAAGACAAAAAGGGTTAGGTTCATGACACTTGAAGGTAATGGTCTGGGGCCTTAAAGCAGCCATCCTCAATCTTTGTTACTTTATTTATAGTCTATGTTATTCCAGAGGAACAGAAGGTGGCAAGAGCCTTCACCATGAATTAGACAAGTAATATAAAATAGAACTATCCTTCCTGTCAAACTGTGACAGAAGCCAACTCTTAAACCAAATTGTTGGAAGATGTGGTAATTATCCACAGCAGAGCTAATTTAAAACAAAAATGATCTTGTTAGGTTTTTTTTTTTTTTAAGATTTTATTTATTTGACAGAGAGATACAGTGAGAGAGGGAACACAAGCAGGGGGAGTGGGAGAGGGAGAAGCAGGCCTCCTGCCAAGCAGAGCCCGATGCGGGGCTCGATCCCAGGACCCTGGGATCATGACCTGAGCTGAAGGCAGATGCCCAACGACTGAGCCACCCAGATGCCCCTATCTTGTTAGGTTTTAATGAGACAGTACAATCTATCCTGGCCAAGACAATAATATATTATCAGACTGAACTGCTTTTATTGCCGTTCACAGCTTAGCTGTCAAGCATGGTGCAAAACTGGCCAAAGCTACAGGTTTGTGCAGGTTGATGCTATGACCAGACTTCATTCTCCACTTCAATCACCCTGTCAGTTTGCTTCAGGTACAGAAGACTGGGCAAGATTGTAATCAATTCACTACAAAACCATCTCACCACCCCCCAAGGAGCGATCCAACATTGAGGCTAACATCACAGTGAGGATGGTGTGGGACTAAGTGGCATTTTCACCCAGGACAGCACAGTTAGCTATGCTCACAAACCTAGGTCATGGTGTTCATATGATAATATGTTCAAGCCTCCTTGGCCTTCTCCAATGAATGAGTGCCAGACAAGGTCAGACAAAGGGCTGCTGTTCTAATCCAACCACTCCAGACTCAAAAAGTGTCACCCACACGGGAAGAAAAGCAGTTTACTTGGGAGTGATCATGTGGCAGATACTCTTGTTAGAGAACCAGAAGCCTCCCAACAATTCTGCAAGACAGATGCCATCACTAAGGGCAGCTGGGATTTCAATTGTTGGGCCCAGAGCTTACTTCACAACACATATTCTCCCCCGCCTTGTAGAGTCGGCTGGGTGGGCCTGTACAAGCTTTGTGGACTGGACAGTTGGACTCACAGAAATAGGGGTGCTCCATGGCCTCTCTTGCGGTAAGCCGTGACTGGTGGTCATATCGCAGCAGCTTGTCCAAGAAATCCAAGGCCTCAGGACTGACAAGGTGCTGGTTTTCACTGTGGACAAAGCGTTCCCATCGCTTACGGGAGTGTCTGTAGAGCCAAAGGGGGAATGAGAAATGGACCGAGGGCCACAGAAGCCCAACATTTCACTTCTACATTTTCTTTAGTGGCTAGCCGCCCAGCCACTAGCAAAGAAAGATCAAAGCTCAAGAGAGTAGGTCTTGTACCACTCTGCCACTAGGGAGACAACAAAACTAATTGGAGAGACTGGAAATAGCAGTGTTGCAGAAAAGAGAAATCTGGGTCCTCATGATACTACAAAACGTAATTCAGGTTACTTTACAGGATTAAGTGCTCCTGTGTAGCAAAGAGGTCAGGTGCTGGGTTAATCAGGCCTCTTTCCCACCCCCACACAAATTCCTGACATCTCTACCACTTGGTCAGCAAAAGCCTTTTCATCAGGCAAGTCCACCTCCTCCAGTTAAGTGGTTAATGAATTTGTATTTTGTCTAGTTCCTATTGTCAGAGTCGACTGTCTGCAAATCAGTCTTGAAGAATGCATTTCCTTTTTCTATTACTCTTAGGGTTTTGTCATTTGGAGAAACAAGCTAAATCAATAGATTTTGATTTTTGACTCAATTGTAACCCTTCTCCTGAAACCTACAATTTGTTCACTGACAGAATCTGCCAACCATAATCTCTACACTCAGACTCCTGGTAAGTGAATCTGGGAAATGGGCCATTCAGTTCAATGCTTGTACCACAGGCCTACCCATGCAACACCCTGCATCACCAGACCAATGACACACTTGCAGTGTTGGCAAAGAGAATGTAATCTATTTTGAGGATCCGAAGTATCTGTTTACAGCCAAGTGCTTAAGGCACAGAAGCACAGATTTTATGACTTACCTGCCCAAGATATCATTGAAACGTGGATCTAATTCAATGTTGTATTTGTCAATATAGTCATATAAATCTTCTGTCCCCAGAACCTTGGCTATCCTCACCAACTAGGATCAAAAAGAGACAAAAACACACACCACAAACACATTACATAATTAAGTCAACCAGCCATAAGTGAATTAACAGAAAAGGGTAGCCATGGTTAAAGGTATGAATGTGAACTTGTCCCAACTTATTTAAAATTTCTGGGTGCCTGAGTGGCTCAGTTGGTTAAGCATCTGCTTTTGGCTCAGGTCATGGTCCCAGAGTCCTGGGATTGAGTCCCGCATCAGGATCCCTGCTCGGCGGGGAGTCTAATTCTTCCTCTACCCCTCTCCCCACTGCTTGTGATCTCTCTCTCTCTCTCAAATAAATAAAATCTTAAAAAAAAAATTTTTGTGGGGAGCCTGGGTGGCTCAGTCGTTAAGTGGGGGCCTTCAGCTCAGGTCATGATCCCAGTGTCCTGGGATCAAGCCCCACATCGGGCTCCCTGGTTAGCAGGAAGTCTGCTTCTCCTTCTCACACACCCCCTGCTTGTGTTCCCTCTCTCGCTCACTCTCTGTCAAATAAATAAATAAAATCTTTAAAAAAAAATTGTGCATGGCAAGAAGGGATTTCCATATAAAATTCCCTAATTATTACCCAATATGAAGGTGCAGGAAAAAAGCAAATGGTCTTATAACTTTGTTCCTTCCCCCTTGAAATGTCTTCCTGGTCAAGCTTTATTTCCCCCACCTCACAACCCAACCGAAGATGTCACTTCTTTTGGGAATATGCTCTTGTACATTCAGACCACTTACTCCCACTAACTGCCTTTTGTACCTGTCTACACCTCTACTCTGACATTTATGACTGCAACTTATCTCCTTACATGTTCTCTCCCTTACTGGATAGACTATGAACCATTTGAGAGAAGGGACTATTCTTTTCTTTTTTCCCTGTGTTCCTCAATCCTGCATGGTCCTGACAATAGAGTTACTGATTCAGGTGGTATTCTTTGACTCATTAAAAATGGGCATTGTGCTCGAACAAGGCAACAGTACCTTCCACAAGGTCTTAGAATCATTCCAGGTTCTCTTGAATGAAATGGCCCCTTGATCTTCAAGGGGAAGTGGAGCTAGTATAAAAAAACACCATCTATATTTCTACTGACAAACATCAACTTAATCCATAAAAAAAGACAAAAGGATCATAGAAACACCACATATAAACCAGTATATTGGAGGAAACATTCCCAACATGTTGGGGAAAATAATGAAAGCTCACCACTAGGAGATTCTAAGGTAATGTTCCATTTCTTAAACTACTGTTCTTTTATTTGTATATATGTTTTATGAAACAATTTACATGTGTATTCACAATAAAGCAAGCACCGCACATTAAGAAGAATAGGAGGAAAAACTCTGATTTCAAAAGGCTAAACTGGTAGCTCCCAAAATACCACTCTGAAAATCAGTGTCAGCTTGGCTGAAGAAGTGATAAACTGAAAATTATTCTAGGGGCCCACCCTAAGAGATTCTGAATCAAGGGGTCTCAAGTGGGGGCTGGTCATCTGTATTTTAACAAGATCCATAGTAGTTTGTAATGGGTAGGCAGATCTGGCCATCACTAAGTTAGCCCAGTACGTTCCCTAATGGGAACAACATTATCACCTGATCATAATTATCATGTCCGTGGAAAAATGGCTCCTTCCGGAAGATCATACTTGCCAGCATACAACCCAAACTCCACATATCCAAACTATAATCGTACATCTGCATTAAAGTAAAAAAGTCAGTTATCATATATAAAATAAGAGTGAAGTATCTTTTCAAAATAAAAATTGCTCTTTATGCTTAAAAAAATATATATATATATACACACACACACACACACACACACACACTACTCCACTGACTCAAAATCCAAAAACCAGTAACACCCTCATGTATTTTCAGTCTTTTTTTCTATGCCCCCACCCTGTTTCAAAACAATCTGTATACTATTTGGAATTGCTTTTCCACTTACCTAAGGTCCCCAATTGTTAGAGCCCATGTAAAACTTTTAATACGTAGCATTAATAATGCATAAATGTTCCAAAATTTAATCTTTATCCTATAAGACTGTGTTTTGTTTTTCATCACCATTATAAATAATGTTGTATAGAATATTTTTATGCACAGAATGTTTTTTGAATTCAGGCTTATAGTCTCAGGATTCCAGAAAAGCAATTTCTAGGACAGAGTCTGAGCTTTGTAAGGTATCTGATAATAACACCTGGGAGGACCAGTCATGAAAGGTAGTCCCAAGGACTTTGTTTTTGTGAGGAGGAAGAGGGTTTTTTTCCTTTTTTTTGGTAAGCAGAAGGTCTCTTTAGAATACAATTTAGGAAAATCATAAGAGAACATTTTTGAGTTTACCTTAATGTTGGTTAAACCTAGCTCACAATTCTCAAACTAGCTCTGGAATTTCTGATTAGAAAAAGTATCTTTGGCGTTTCTTTTCTTCAGTTAGATCAAATGCAGATCTAGTCTTACTCTCCTGACATTATGACAATAAAAATAACATAAGTTATGATGGATGAACTGAAGTGATTCATATTTTACACTCATGAAAGGGACAGCCATGTATGTGCATAAATAGCCTACTCAAAGGCACGAAATGACATTTTTCACAGTGAAAATTAAGTGAAAAACACAGGACTGAAATTTTATCTGCCCTTCTTTTCTCACCTGATAGTCTACAAGTAGCTCAGGACCTTTGAAGTATCGGGAAGCAACTCTGACATTATATTCTTGGCCAGGATGGTAAAACTCAGCCAAACCCCAGTCTATTAGTCGTAGCTGAAAGAAAAAAAAAAGAAAGAATAAATCATGAGTAATTTTATCTTTCAAGCTACCCCTCACACTGTCATCAGAGTACTCTTAAAAATACCAGCCATGTCACTCTCTTAAACATTTCCAGTGACTACCTAGTGCATTTAGGATGAAAATCAAACTTCTTGGGGCGCCTGGGTGGCTCCGTGGGTTAAGCGTCTGCCTTCAGCTCAGGTCATGACCCCAGGGTCCTGGGATTGAGCCCCACACTGGGCTCCCTGCTCAGTGGGGAGCCTGCTTCTCCCTCTGTCTCCCCCCACTTATGCTCGTGATCTCTCTCAAATAAAATCTTAAAAAAAAAAAAATCAAACTTCTTGGCTTGGCATACAGGGTTCTCCATGATCTAGTTCCTGTGCTCCAGCAAGACTTATAGTTCCTAAAAAACACCATCCCAGGGGCGCCCAGGTGGCTCAGTTGGTTAAGCGACTGCCATCGGCTCAGGTCATGATCCTGGAGTCCCAGGATCGAGTCCCGCATCGGGCTCCCTGCTCAGCGAGGAGCCTGCTTCTCCCTCTAATCCTCCCCGTCTCATGTATTCTCGCTCTCTCAAATAAATAATCTTAAAAAAAAAAAATCCCATTTTGTAATTCTACATCCCATTTCTGTAATTCTGTTCCTCTGACTAGAATGTCGTCCATTGTCTAAGCTAGACCCCTAACTGAACATATCCCCATCTTTTGAGATATTCAGGTTAGCCCTTCAATGAAGTCTTTTCTAAATTAACCAAGTAGAACTAATCCTTTCCTTTAGCCCCCTGAACCTCAAATATATTTAATAGAATCTACAACTCTTTATTGTGTATTTGTTTTCCACCTTTTTTTTCTATTATGCACTGTAAGCTCCTTGAGGGAAAAGACTGTGTAATTCACTTATGCAATTTTTACAATTCAACAAAATGCCCAGTATGCAGAAGAAAAATATTTGTGGGGTGCCTGGGTAGCTCAGCCTGCTGGGCATTCAACTCTTGATTTTGGCTTGGATCATAGTCTCAGGGTTGTAGGATTGAGCCCTGCATCAGGCTCCATGCTCAGAACGGAGTCTGCTTGTCCCTCTCCTTCAGCTTCTCCTTCAGCTCCTCCCCCAGCTCTCTCTCATAAATGAATGAATGAATGAATGAATGAATGAATAAAATCCTAAGAAGAATTTGCTGAGTGAATGAAGGGAAAAGCCACACAAACAACTCCTATCAAAATGTATCCACAAAATCAAAAAAGAAGTAGGCAAGCCCAAGAGGCAACCTTATCTGCCCACTGTGCAAAGCACAACAATGATCTGAAGTATGAGCCGTAGGGCCTGAGCAGCGCCTGACACTCTGGCACCAACTCTAAGTTCACTGTTAACTAGGTACATACAGTGTTTTCCCTGTTTCAGTAATGAAGGGAGATGTAACAAAAGGTACAAAAGAAAGCATAACCTTTGTTACGCTTTTTCTTTTTACCCCCTTAACATTAGTGCCCCAGAGCTCCCTTTGACTTTCTTTTCTTATTATCAGCAAGTACTCCAGATGACCATTTCTGGTCTGTGGCTTCACAGCACCTCACAGCCTTTCCCACTTATACTCTCTGGCCCATGCCTCCTGTCCCCTGACTCTTGCAATCACCTAACAGACACATCAAAACTCATTTTTTTTTAATTTTTATTCATTTGAGAGAGAGAGAGAGAGAGAGAACAGGCAGAGGGAGGCGCAGAGGGAGAGGGAGACGCATACTCCCCATAGAGCTGGGAGCCGACTAGGGGCTTAACCTCAGGACCCCGAGATCATGACCTGAGCTGAAGTCAGTTGCTTAACCGACTGAGCCACCGAGGCTCTCCAAAACCAAACCTTTGATTATTCCCTGCAAACCTGCTTCACTCAGCCTCTCCCTTCCCAGTTAAAGGTAATTCTATTCATGCTGTCATTCAGGTAAAACATTTTCCCCCTGGATTCTTGTTTCCCATACACTGTACTGCAAATCTGTCAATTGGCTCTACCACACTCTGCCATCACCACCTCCTGTCTGACTTACTGCAATAGCCGTTTTTCCTAACTGGTCTCCTTGCATTCACCCCTGTCCTCTACCGCTGTTCTCTACAGAGCAAAAGCTTTCATTTAAAAACGATTATAAATTCACACAAAGTTGGAGATGTTCTGTATATCCTTCACCCAATTTCCCCTAATGGTAACATGTTGCATAACTACAGTACATTAAAACCAGGTAATCGATATTGGCACAATTCAGACAGACCTTATTTTCCAGTTTTACATGCATGAAGGCATGCAGTTCTGTGCAACTTTATCAATGCGTAGACTCACAGAACTTCCAGAAGATACACAACTGTTTCATCACCACAGATGTCCCTTGTGCTATCCCTTCCCCTTCACTTCCTAACCCCTGGGGCAACCCCTCTGTTGTCAACCTCCAATTTTGTCATTTTGAAAATGGACTCAGTGTAACTTTTTTATTTTTTTTTAAAGATTTTATTTATTTATTTGAGAGAGAGAGAATGAGAGATAGAGAGCACGAGAGGGAAGAGGGTCAGAGGGAGAAGCAGACTCCCTGCTGAGCAGGGAGCGTGATGTGGGACTCGATCCCGGGACTCCAGGATCATGACCTGAGCCGAAGGCAGTCGCTTAACCAACTGAGCCACCCAGGCGCCCCTCAGTGTAACTTTTTATGACTGCTTTTTTCCCCTCAGCATGAAATCCAACAAGCTGTGCATTATCACTAGTTCATTCTTTTTTCTCTTTAAAGATTTATGAGAGAGAGAGAGCACGCTTGCGAGTGGGGGAAAGGGTAGAGGAGAAGCAGACTCCCCGCTGAGCAGGGCTCCCAATGTGGGGCTTGATCCGAGGACCCTGAGATCATGACCGGGACCGAAAGCAGACACCTAACCGACTGAGCCACCCAGGGGCCCCAATCTGGCATTTTTCAAAATGCCTGTGCCACTCGATGTTCCCACCAGCAATGCATGAGATCAAGTTTCTCTGCATCCTTGCCAGTATGTGGTATGGCCACTTTTTATTTTAATTGTTCTAACAATTAATGAATTTTTTAAAATGTGAGAATATGTCAATTTTCTGCTCAAACCCTGCAAAAAAGCTCTGCATCCTCAGAGAAAAGGCCTGAACAATGATCTTTAAGGTTTTACATGATCTGGTTCTCTTTACCTCTTTGATTTCATTTTGTTCCTCTCCCACCTGTTCATGCTTTCCAGCTCTATCTGTTCCAACATGCCAGGCACATTCTTGCCTCAGGGCCTTTGCACCTGCAATTTCTTCCATCTGGGACACATTTGTTTTTGTGATTACATGGCTGGCTCCTTCCAAGTGTTGTTAAAACGTCACCTTCCCAATGAAACCTTCCCTTTACAACCTTGTTTAAAACCACAGTACCCTCCACCGTTCCCTATTCATGATTTATTTCTCTTCCACATCACTTTTTTAAAAAAAAGATTTTATTTATTTGAGAGTGTGCAAAAAAGCACGCACATGTGCATGAGTTGGAGAGGGGCAGAGGGAGAGGGGACTCCCCACTGAGCACGGAGCCCGAAATGGGTTTGATCTCAGGACTCTGGGATCATGACCTGGGATGAAGGCAGACGCTTAACCAACTGAGCCACCCAGGCGCCCCTCTTCCACCACAACACTTTTAACTTTCTATCCCACCAGCTTCCCACAAATGCAAGTTTCCTATGGACAAGAATTTTTTTTGTCTATTTGTCTCACACCTACTACATCTCCAGCCTCTAGAACAATACCTATTACATAGTGTGAATCTAAAAGAATTATTAGCTGATGAATAAATCAACTATGTCTCCAAAGTCTACAATGGATAGCCATCTCTGCCTACAAAAGGTGGGCTTGGTCACCTTAAAAAACGGACTATAAAGCCATGTGGTCAGTGCAGCTCTATTAAAAGCATCTGTAGAGTTCAGGGACCTCATGACACCTGCAACTAAGCAGCAGCATTTTCTGAATATTTTATCTGTATTACAACTGTGTATAGTCAATTCTCACAATAACCTAGTGGCACACAAGTCTATTTACATTTTACAAGTTAAGAAAAAGGAAGCAAATGAGAAAGGAGTTTCCTCAAGAGACTAGTTATTTAATAAATGAAACCAGAAGCCAGCTCTCTTGCCCAAAGCTAATGTTTTGCCCACTAATCGGTTTCCTTCCCCCCTTTTTTTCCCAAAGTAAGCTCTATGCCCAACGTGGGGTTTGAACTCATAACCCCGAGATCAACAGCTGCATGCTCTACCAACTGAGTCACCCAGGGGCCCCAAATGTTTCCTTCTTGATAGTATTCTTAGGAATATGAATATTGACTTCAACATTCTGATTCATTAATGAGTTCATTCACTTACCAAACATTTATCAAGTGCTTAACAGGTAACAGCGACTGTGATAGATGTTGAAGATGGGCTGATAACTCTATCATACAAATAAATAACACTTGGCAGTCTATCACTTTACCTTTCTGTGCTCATGATCAATCATGACATTATGGGGCTTCACATCTCTGTGCATAATTCCCATGCTGTGACAATAATCCAGGGCCTGTAGGAGGAACAGGTGAGAAAGAAAGAGCTTGCTGAAAAGTGATTTTCTTAAAGTCATCTTTTTCCTCCACAGTTTTCCTTCTAGCCTCACCCCTGGGAGTCAAGGTTAGGACAATCATTCCCACCCTATTCTTCAGACACCTGTTCAAGATCCCATAGTCAAGCAAACTCACAGCCTCTGAACTTCAAGTTCTGTTCCTACACTGTTGTTTCAACTTCCTTTCTGTTCAAAAACACCCAAGGTGTATACCAACTGCATTACTTCCAATCTCTCCCCCCTTACCCAAAGGCTGGATTATTTTCACAAACATAGGCCCCTCAGAAGAAAACTGGTCTGTCCTATAAACCTCTCATTTGAAGAACAGTAATTCTCTAGCAACTAAAAGTCCACAACAGAGGCTGGCAAACCACAGCCCATGGGCCAAATATGGCCTGCTGCCTGTTTTTGTGAATAATGTTTTATTGTTAACACAGCCATACCTATTTGTTTACATATCATCTCTGGCTGCTTCTCTGTTACCACAGCAGATATGAGTAGTGTGAGAAAGACCCTATGGCCCACAAAGACAAAAATTTTACTGTTTGTCCCCTGTACCTTATTTATGACATCAAATCTGATTTGAAAACCATGTCCAATCTGAAACTAGGGTGAACTGAGCGGCATAACCTTTGGGGTTTGCTAATCCCAGCCTTCAAGCCAGCTGATGTCACTGGCCAAGTTCTTGTCCTTCCTGAAGGGCAACTTGGGTTCTTATGGTTCCCAGGGTTAGACAAGTGTATCCTTAACTTTGTGAGGTCCTACTTGCCACAATACTGCATGAGCCAACGGAAAGATCAAATATCTCTGCTGGCATGGTCTCTTTAGGGCACTACTAAGGTTCAAATGCAGGCTTTATGGCAACCGTCATTTGGTAAGAAACTTTAGCCACCTCGTAGCAATTTTCTCATCTATAAAGCTGATCTTAATGCTTATTAGGAGCAAGATAATTGGTGATCCCACTTTAGAAATCAAAGTCCACTCTCAGTCAGCAATCTCTTAAGAAGAGATTTACATAATCCTTAGGATAATGACCCTTTGAGGGTTGAGTTAGTTTACTGTTTCACTTGTTGAATTTTAAGTATACAAGAAGCTAGCATATCAGAAGTTATTTTTGTAAGTTTTGACAATTTAATTGTTAACTTTCAAAGGAGGATGACAGAGAGAACAAATATTTTTTAAAGGGGTCCCAGATCACTTCTAAATGCCGTTTCCAAAGCATTCTAAATTACATTCCTATTGGACCCTATTCCATAATGTTTACATTACCACACGGGCTCTGATGCTATTAACTTACTAAAACCTTTTATGAGGAGGCCCCCTTCTTTCAACATACTTTTCAAAGGTAACTCACTGGCTTTTCCACAGTTAATTGGACTATTTAAAAGAAGGAAGATCAAACTAAAGATATTTAGTATTCCAGGTTCCCTTACCTTCAGAATCTCATACATGTAAAATCGAATATCATAGTCTGTTAACGTCTGGTACAATTGCTGTTAAAGACAAATGCAACATTTGAGCCATGAAAATAATGCTGATAGGAAGGCAATTTCTCATCTTTGTAGTAATTCAAACCAAGGCTTGGCTCATTTGCCACTGTTCCAAGATCTGTCTGTTCACTGGTCTCTACTTCTCCAACAGAAAATTTGCTTTTTAAAGGAGATACTCTGGGTCTTTATATGTAGAAATGAAGACTTACTTAGACTTGTATCGCTCAAGCTATAATTCACTTCTGGATTTCAATTTATATATGCAACATGCATTGGTGTTATACACTTGCTACAGTCTGCTTTTCACTTATCTCCAGACCTTCTCATACAAGGCATTTTGGCAAATATACAACCTCCTCCTTAGTAGGGAACTAACCCATTTTTGGCTTACATAGTTATAGGCACTGTGGAACAGCAGTGGGTATGCAAGATGGCTTGCTGACAAATCAGTCAATTTAACAGAACTATTCCTGTCCCAATTTGAAAGTAAACTCCAAACAACTGTCACGTATCCTTTCCTGGTTCCAAAAAGTTGCAGATTTTTTTTACATCTATGTGTCATTAAATGGTTAGTGATATCCTCTGACAGTTTTCCTTGAAGTTATTGTTCTGATTCTAAAATAGTTCTTTTTCCTTCTCTCAGTAAAGGATTCACCCATTTATTGATATGTAACATTCTTAATACTGGACTGGTGCAGAGGCCAAGTTAAATACCTTTACAGCTTGTAACACAAGAAAGTGTCCATATTCCTGTGCTGTATACCTGTTTGGTGTTAAGAACTATTTGAAATAAGTAGGCCACTGGATGGGATGGATGTCAGAGATCTATTGTAGAGGTTTGTATTATACCAGAATTTACACCACCCTTCTCTACCCACCCCCTTTTAAGATCTATAGCCCAGAGTTTCTGAGGAATCCCAAGGTATAAGCAGTCCTTGTTTGTACATACAAAATACCTTCCTTCTTGAATAGTTGTTTTAAAGTGAAATGCCCTACAGCCAGATCCTGACTGAACATGTGCTGTGGCCTTTTATTAGGTTTGATGTCTGTAGAAACTGTCAAACGAATGGTAAAGGTGGTGAGAAGTAAATGTATTGGTAATTAAAAAGAGCACAAAAACAAACGAAAGAGCAAAATATATCAAGATGTGGGAAGTGGACACTGCTTGTACAGGAGTTTCTCTACCTTAAAATTTAGCACTGTAAGGATGAAAAGCTCTTTTTAAGCAAGTCAGAAGGAAGCTCTTCTAACAGTAACATCACTAAAAGGCTTTCTATGTGGTCTAAAAACCCAACACCTTGAAATGGTTATGTATTATACCTTGAAGTCTGTGTTGTTTACGTGTTCAAAAACCAAGGCAGGGGTTCGTGACTAGGGGAAAGAAAAAGAAAACACACATTAGCAACAACCCTGGCAGCTTTAGTGGGCACAATGTTTGCGGATACTACGTGGTGAATTTGGTAGTCCTTGCCTCAGTAGTAGGAAACCCTCTACTGCTACAAGCCCTCCCCACTCTGATCATCACCACACTTAGGTCATTTTTGGGATGGATTTCAAACAGAAGACATGGAGCTGAAGTCTCACCAGGCTGTAGGCAGCCCGACAATGCGCCCATCGCCCATCGGCATCGGACCTGAGTTTGCAAAATGGATTAACACATTTCAGTTTCCAGTGCTATCAGTCTCTTAGCCTAGAAGAATAAGAAATAGTCTGTGGGTGGAGGTCTCTTTGAAAGAAAGACCCAAGCTAGTTAAATGGTATAACTGATTAAGCACTTTTAAAGCAGGACTTAACGGTCGAGGGGGGAAAATAAAGAGGGCAGTTGTGCTCTGGGTCAAACACCAGCTCAGCCCTGGTGGGCCTTGCCAGCGCCTACTATACTCACCACAGGGTCTTTTACAATGTCTGCCAGTGTGATGATATTGGGACCGCCTCGTAAATTCTCCAAAATCTTTATTTCACGCTTGATTTTCTTCTTCTTTACTGGCTAAAAGGATAAAAGTATATTAGTGAAATTATTTCAGAGTATTTCAATACGTAATGTAATACATAAATGGCTTACTTATGAACTCTCTGAAGGAAGGACATGTGTCAGTCTCATCTCTGAATCCCCTTCTCCTAGCCCTGTGCCAGCTATTCTGCGGTACTTAGCACATGTAGAATTGAAAGGAAAATCTTCACCCCAAAGACCAGACCTCTGCAGAACTAGCATTTAATTCCAGTTGTCAATCTTAGCACGTTAACTTTTTAAAACTATACAAACTAGGAATGTAAATGGTAACACTAAGATCTAGCTTATAAAAATCTCTTTGTCAATCAGGATGAAGAATGGGCTCTTCCCATTCCTTCCTCTAAGTCTATAAACACCCTAGGGGCGCCTGGGTGGCTCAGCTGGTTGAACCTCTGACTCTTGGTTTTGACTCAGGTCATGATCTGAGCTGTGAGACTGAGCCCCACGTTGGGCTCCGTGCAAACCGTAGAGTCTGCTGGGATTCTCTCTCTCCCCCTCCAAAATATAATAAATAAATAAAATCTTAAAAGAAGTCAGGACCAACAGCAAGGATGGCCAAACCATCTTTGTGCAGCATAACTTTGTGGGTTAAATGCTGGCTGTGGAGTCAGACTGTGTAAGGTGAATCACACTGTCACTACATGCTGGCTGTGTGCCAACAGCAAATTACATAAGTTCCCTAAGCCTTTCATTATGGGTAAAAATGATCAACAGGAGTACATATATCTGAATATGGCTGGGATATACCCCATAATATCTGTCTAGCTTTATTGCCAATATTCCTATAAATGAACCCCCCTCCCTCCATTTTAAAAAGACCACTCTGCAGAGCCCCTTGAGTATATTTTCCATGTGCCTTTGTCCTCATCCATCATTTTTACATCTATTCGCATACAGACATCCTTTTCATTTTTCTGAGGAGGGCTTTGGTCCAACTGCACTTCCTCCACAAAGCCTTCCTTCTAAGTAGCTAGGGTACTGCTAGTCTAAAAGAGATACAATGCAAGCCACATGTGTATTTTAAATGTTCTAGTAACCACATTAAAAAAAGTGAAAAGAAACAGACAAATTTCAATATATTTAACAAAAACGTATCCCAAATCTTACCATTTCAACATGTAAATATAAAAAAATTACTAATAAGCAATTTTGTACTAAGCCTTTGAAATTGAGTATATTTTATCCTCAGCATGTCAATTTGCACTAGCCACATTTCAAATGCTCAGTAGCCCCATGTGGCCCATGTATGTAGGTCTTTCCTAGGGTGTCAGTCACCTCAGACTACTGATACACTGCGTATGATTCTTAGAAATTGTTTTAAGTATGTATCATCTCTTCATCAACATTAGTGGTTACTAAACTTCATGATCAACAGTCACTTGGATTTTTAAATAGACAGTTTCCTAGGTCCCACCTAGAACTGCTGAATCAGAATCTTGAGATTGGAGCTAGAGAGCAATTCTTAGATACTTCCTAGGTTGATACTCCAGGTCTAGGAACTACCAAAACGAATTGTAAACTCTTGTAACCTCGTCTTAAGTCCTAAGCACGTGGTACAGACACAAGCAAGCAAGTCTTGGATACAGACCATCCTCAAAATCTGGCTTTGTAGCTATGCAGCTTTGGGAAAAGCACTTAAATGTTTCTGAATTTACACTTGCCTTGAAGAACTGTTGTAAACACCACAGTCAGAACAGGGGCCAATTCAAATTAGACAATAAATAGAAACTGTTACTAATAGAGACTCCCACAGTCCACATTTGATTCAATCCACAGCTCTTAGCCTTGCTATCAGAACTCAATACACTCTGACTGGGAAGCAGGCTAATTGGAAGTTTTCTCTTTTTGCTTCAACTATCAGATCTTTAACATCTGCTAGAGTATCTGGGAGATCTTTCTACCTTCCAGGGACTAACCCATCAATCTAGCCTGTTTTCTACTAAATCACTATTTCCCAACTGCCAGTTTTTTGGTGAAAAGCTACTGGTTTATGAAACTTTCCTCCTTAAAATCTATAAACTTACAAAGCTGGTTTGTGATAGACCAGACAGGTGACTTAAACCCTAATTTAATGTGATCAACACAACTATTCTGTTTTAATACATAGGTGGGAGAGATTAAGAACTTTAAATACAGTTTATGAATGAACTTCATCTATACTTATAACCATCTATAAAATTACAGTACAGTTAGGAAAAGACTGAGCTGAAAAAAGTCTTTTCAACTCCCAGCCCCCACTCAAAATACAATTACTCCCAACAACCTAGAAGAGATAAAAATCACGTAACTTTTAAGACTGGAAGGAAGTGCAGAGATATTTTCTAGGTGACCACCAATTTAATCTCCCTTTCCAAGTTCACCTCCCCTGTATGGTCACTTGACATCTTCCACATGAAACAGTTCTCACTTGTTTCTTCCTCTTTTCTTATCTTGTGCATTCTAAATCACACTCCCCTCTTCTCCACTCCCACCCACACCTATTCACATCCTCCTTCCCTTCAGGGACTGAAAACAGCTCCTGGGACCTTTTCCTGACCACCACCTTCTTCCGAACTGTGAAACCTACTGTTTGTGCCTTTTATGACTCTAGATAACCTATCACTTTATCATATCCCTTTCCATGTAAGTATCATCCTACAGTTACACAGAAGTTCAGCCTCCAAAGTGTTATTTCTATATATAATTTTTTATTTGATCCTCATATCAACTCTGAGAAAGACAGGGAAGGCAAGATTATCTCATTTGCACAAATGAGCAAACATCTTAGATAGTTAAAAGGACTACCAAGGTTAATTACTTTTAGAGTTTGGATTAGAATCCACATGTTGTGATATCCAGCCTACTTCTCTTTCTACGTGTGATAAGACAGATAGAAATACTTAAACTTTCTGTTTCCCATACAGGTGTGCCATGGCACCACAGCAAATTCACGGGGGCTCTGTGAAATTTTTAATTTTTGAGGGAAAAATCGATCAATACCCAGTATCTGCCAGATACAGAGTATACTACCAACTTGAGATAGTTCATAGTTTCAACATTAGATTGCACTACATTCCTTTTGATGACGTATTTTTGTGAAGCTGGGTTTTTAGCCGCTGCTGTGATAAAAAGCAAACACTGTACAAAAATCAATGTTGAAAAGGAAATGAAGCTTTGGTGTCCAACTTATTCCAACATTTGAGAAACTGTGCAGTGATTGACAGGTGTATGTACATATCCCAATACTAATTAATTATGGTTATATAAGAATAAAATTATATCTTTCTTTCAATCTATGTATGTAACATTTTAAATGGCACCCAAGCTAAAATAAACACTTTGTTATTTGGACTTAGCTACTTAAAAGTTACTTAAACAAGGCGCCTGGGTGGCTCAGATGGTTAAGCGTCTGCCTTCCGCTCAGGTCATGATCCCAGAGTCCTGGGATCGGGTCCCACATCGGGCTCCCTGCTCCTTGGGAGCCTGCTTCTCCCTCTGTCTCTCTGTCTCTCATGAATAAATAAAATCTTTTAAAAAAAAAAGTTACTGAAACAATATGGGTGGCTATCAATTGAGGAAGTCTGGGAACCTCTACTTCTCAGTGTCAAATGTATAAAAGTTCCCATGGCAAGGAACTATATGCTAAGTTCCTAGCATCTGATATTGCACAGTACAGTTATAACTAACTTACAAGTTGCATATTGGTAGCCTTTTGGGCAAACCTGGCCTGTGGAGCATTTTTAAAAACTCTTGAGGCAACATTTAACAATCAGAGTAATTTATATATAAATATAAATTTCTACTTTCTTTTTGCAAAGAGTATCAAGTAACACTAGACTTCACTACTGCAAAGCAATTAGCCGGAGCACACACCGCAATACCCATCACTCACATCCCCCAATATGGGCACTTACATCAGACTAGCTGCATTGACGGCATCTGCCTGCCATTTAAAGGCTTTCATTTCTGACTCCTTATCCTTACACAGAAGAAGTAACAACTTCTTGAAAACAAAAGGATGGACTGTAACTAAAAATCTAGGAAATCAGTATTAGGCAAGACCTAGAAGAGAGAAGATTGAACCTTTACTCCCTTCCTCTATCACAATCTAGCTGTATGACTTGAGTCAAATCACTTATCTTGCTTCAGTTTCCTGATGTGTCAAATAAAGAGAACCTCTTCTAACAATTTCACAGGATACAATAAAGATGTTAAAGCACTCCAAAAACCCTTTCAAATGCTACTTTTAAAAAGGTATTTTAAAAAAATTTTTAAGTACTATTACTTAAAAAAATCTGAATTCCAAATATCTCTGAAATTATACTCTCTTATACTCACCTTGAGAATTTTAACAACAACTTTTTCATTATTTGTGATGTTGATAGCTTCAAACACTTCACTGTATTTACCCCGGCCTAATTTTCGCACCAGCTGGTAGTCATCTTGATTACTGTAAACAGAAAGACTCAAAGTCACAATGATTTTAAAAGTTCAAACTATAGGGCACTAATTAACTTTAAAAACTCTACTACCAGGAGGAGTAAAAGAAATGAAAGGTACTTCAAATAATCTCTGTACTTTAAAAATTGGGCCATTGATTAAAAATGTGTGTTCCAAGTCCTAGAATTACAAAAACTTAAGCCTTTCATTTATTCTTTCAAATACCAAATTGTTTATATTTCTACTGGCATAGCACACATACCTAGCTTATATTAGGGTTTGTTGTGTTTGTGTCCAACAACAAACAGCTTTCCCTTAGAGAATAATTTTTATATATTCCTGTCCTCTCATGCCTGGCCCAGCAGAAAGTCAATATGTATTGTAAGAATATTTCAATTCGGGCGCACTTTGGAAGCAGCTAATTTTTAATGGGCCTTTTTGCAGATAAGTGGCTTTCAACATATAGGCTTAACCTCCCACTTGCCCTCCAAGGCAAGCCCTGAGAACAGTCCATGTAGTGGAGTTTGCAAATCACACCACAGATCATGAACCATAATAAGGTGTCCCTTCCTCACTTTTACCCATATTCCAGGACTACTAGCATCATCAGAGGTAAAAAATAAGGGAAATGTCAACATTTTCTCCCTGCCTCTGATTACAACTTAGATAATGTTGCTTTAAAGAATGACAAACATGGTCCTTTTCATAAGGTCTAAATTCTATTTACTCCTGCTGGAGACACTGAAAATCCAAATAACAAATTAGCCATCCATTTTCCTCAAGCAGCTAAAAAGAAAGTGAATGAACAGATAAGGCAAAAGGTGGTAAGGACAATGGACAATGTATTAAGGCAGGTCAAGGGGAAGGAAGCTCTTAGTTGTGGTTGAATTCTCCTGTGGGGTGGGCACAGAAAACAAATGCAAGCAAGCAAATTGCACCATGCCAAAAACTCAAAAGGGTTGTTGAGTGTTATTTAAGCACAACTAAGTGCAAAGCACTCAATCTGAAGAGAGTGGTTGAAATTTCCTTAGCAAAACACAGGTATTCCTAGAGTCCAAAGCCTGTGATATGAGGGGAATTGTTAGAATATCAATTATGACATTTATTGATACCAATGGTTCTTGATGGTATCTTTGAAGCAAACTGCCTCTCTGTGCAGAGGCAATGCACTTACTGTTAAAAATCCTGGTCCCATCAAGCTGACAATACATCCTTATGCCAATTTTGGGAGACTACCTTTAACCACTTACAGGTTATGTACATGTGAACAGACATAAAACATAGCATATGGGAGCTGTAGCTTTATGTGTTTTCAAATGCTTTCTTTGTATTTCATGTCAAAAGGCTTTTATCACAATAAGTATGACCTGATCAATTAACTACATACATGCTGGGACAACAGATGCAAACATCCAAAAGAGACTGCACAGAGAATGAGGGGCAAACACAGTTGTTCAGGTAGACTGCAACTGTTCAAAATGGAATTTGGGCTGAATTCCATGTTACACATGGCTAGCCTCGTGATAAGGGCAAATGCTGATAAGGGTTTAATTTTCCTTCTATCATAAAGAGGACGTCTTTGTGAGATCTGTTTCATCCTTCAGTATCATCATGGGACAACATTCTCTGACCTCAAAAATATTTTATGGAAGAGTTTGGTGTTTTTAAAGTCTCTCAAGTATTAATTCTCACCTAACTGTGAAGCCCTTAGCTGAGATGAGCTGACAGGTAACTCTTTGTTATCAGCCTTTTATCCAGAATATGTAAGTCCAAGGAAAGAATAAGAGACGGAAATAATTTTTACATGGTAAACCCATCAAAACTCTTAATTTGCCAAAGCAATACCTTGCTTCTCCACTGCAGAAGTAAACACAAATCAGGTTTCAATCTTGAAGTTTATAAATGCACAGTCAGGAAGGATTCCTGATACAAATTACTCAACAAATCCACAAGAGTCAGCCCTTTGAGTGAGGACAGTGAAGTAAAAGGAAACAATTACCCCCACTCCACCACGTGTGACTCATAATCCCAGTACTCTCGGGGTCTGTGTGTATTAACATCTGTGTAAACTCTGGCCCTGCTTGGCACGGGTCCCGACATGTCAGACAGGTTGGCGAACGAAGGTGGACTTGATGTTTGGAGATCTGGTGGTCACTGTGTTCAGAAGCAGCTGGGGGTAAGACCTTGTTTCAGACCTCTTTTCTTTAAACTGCGAACACAAAGTGCATAAAGGCCAAGGAATTATTTTTTAAAAGCATATGAGAAGAAGAAAAAACCATCTTACAATAATGGCCTCAAATATACCTCTGGCTCTTCTACCTGTTAACCAATGACTAGGTCCCAAATGTGTTAACCACAGTGTTTCCTATAACTTGGAAAGAATATAATAATAATAATAAACCCAAGACACTTACTTAAAATTAAATTGGCCCTAATTGTACTCTGCAAAGTAGCTTGTTACCTCCCCATCTAAAGTCTGGATGTTCTTTATAAGATAGCCTGGAAGGGAAAAATGGCATCAAGGATAGACCCATCAACATTACTACCATTTACACAATCTACACAAATTACTGGCAAGAACAGCTTTCTACAGCTCAAGTAGGAGTGTTAAAAGGTTCTAGAATAGCGGCAAACCATCAGGCTGACTCTAATGGTTGATGAAACCAGGAAGGGAATAAAGACTTGTTCTCATACATCAAAGTTCACTGTCTTTTTATATTGATCCAAATCATTTGGGGAAGCTTGCATAATAATCAGCAGATCCTTAATTACCATTTGAAAGACAATTTCATTAAATTTAAAAACAAATAATTTCCTCTTGAATGAATACAGGAGTAAGCTTAATAAAAACTGGTAGAAGACAGTAATACATATTGCCTGACCTAATGCAAAATTTGACATAGAAGGAAAAGTGATGAATTTTAGAAACAATTCTACCAAATCGGTAAACTAAGTCTACCTAATTGGTAAACTGTGATGTCTTCCTGACCATTCCAATCTATTTATCTCCTTTCAACGATTCCTATAGCATTTGTTGATTCCCTTTACTCTGCATTTAATTAAAAATGTATTGAGTCTCCAGATTTCATAACCTGAGAACACATCACCTATGCAGTTTTCTGGCCTAGATTGTGTAACCTCAACTTAATTACAAGGAAACACTGGACAAACAGAAAACGAGGACGCCTCTATAAAAAAAAGGGGAGGAGGGATACACTGTACTCAAAAATGTCAATATTAGAAAACAAAAAAGGAAAGCAGGACAGAAGACACACGACTATATACCCTGTCCTATTCGTAGGCTATACCCTGTACTGGAGCGGGGTAAAGGACATAAGCAGCAGGGCGCCTGGGTGGCTCAGTTGGTTAAGCGACTGCCTTCGGCTCAGGTCCTGAGGGATTGAGTCCCGCATCAGGTTCCCTGCTGAGCGGGGAGTCTGCTTCTCCCTCTGACCCTCCCCCCTCTCATGCTCTATCTCATTCTCTCCAATAAATAAATAAAATATTAAAAAAAAAAAGGATATAAGCAGCAGCACTACCACACCCACTGCTCTGCGGCAGACAGCCTCTCCTCTGCTGTCCTGCCTGCTGCTACTTTGCAGTGTATTCAATCAACTTCTACCTCCTTTAGGGGGCGCCTGGGGGGTCCAGGGGGTCGAGCGGCTGCCTTCGGCTCAGGTCACGGTCCCACCATCCTGGGATCGAGCCCCGTGTCCCCGTGTCGGGAATCCCTGCTCAGCGGGGAGCGTGCTTCTCCCTCTCCCTCTGCTGCCCCCACCAGCTGGTGCATGAGCACGCACACGCTCTCGCAAATAAAATCTTTAAAAAACAACAAAACAAAAAAACCTTCTATTGCCTTTAAAAACCAAAACACAAAACACCATGCACACCCACACACAAATACTATCAGATCAAATGACAGGACATTTAGATGGTAGATTAGGTGTACACAAGAGTACACTCACAAGCAAATGGGGTAAAATATAAAATATTAAAATAGTTGGGGCGCCTGGGTGGCTCAGTCGGTTAAGCATCTGCCCTCTGCTCAGGTCATGATTTCAGGGATCCTGAGACTGAGCCCCATTGGGATCCCGGCTCATTGGGGACTCTGCTTCTCCCTCTCCCCTGTCCCTCCCCCCAGTTCCTGCTCTCTGTCTCAAATGAATGAATAAAATCTTAAAAAAAAATCATAATAGGTAAATCTGAGTAAAGGGGATACAGATGTTCTTTGTACCACTCTCATTTTTGCTGAAACGTGTTATTCTTAAAAACTGTGGTAAAACATAAAATTTACCAATTTAACCATATTTTCTTTAAACAAATACAAAAAATTAAAGGAGATGTAACACCCAGCCTTGGAGGGCCAAATCATGGGTGGATATGACATCATAAACTGAGACCTCATTTTTTCCTGGAAATCACCAGAGTCAATGGAAAACATTCCCCAACTCCTATTTACCAGTTTGTGTATCTATCAAGCTATCACCCAACGTGCTTTCTTAAGGCCTTGGCATTCTCTGTGAAGAGCAGAGCAAGACTATTCACTAATGAAACTCCTGAGATTCTCAAGTACTTGTTTGACTGACCCTTGCAGCTTTGTGCCTCATCAGCTGGGACCTAATTTATGAACTGGTGGACTTGATTCCCCACTGGGAGGACTACTAGCAGTTTTGCAGCACCTGAAGAGGTGCTTCACTTTACTAACATGCATATCAAACAATCTGTTTATAGTAAGAGAGTTGTTGACATGAATGTCAAATGGCTGGCCTTCAGTACATAGGGAGAAGAAATGGGAGAGTTCTTTAAACTGTACTTCAGTAATCTCAGATAAGTAAAATGGGGCAAAGAGGGATGGGGGAGAGTGATAGGCTGGGGATAAAGAGGGGGATGCAAAAAGACAAGAAAGGGAAATCATCATAAACATTATTTTATTCAGAAATAGAATTTCACTTGCAACCTCTGTAAATGTGTATGTATATTCATATACAGCCTAACATGAAAGAAAGGAATGGTCTAGATTTCTCAATTATTGGCTGGTTCTCTCATACATTACTTCCTTTGTCCATCCCTTAAATACATGAGCATCTACTATGAAAAAATACTATGCTAGGTCTTGGGAATAAAAGGCAGAACAAACGTGAGACAAATATGCCTTTAAGGTTTTATCTGCAGTTAAGGATAATGGAAACTCAATGAGGAGTTTTAAGCAGGAAAGTTCACTCTGGCTGGGTGTGGGACAAGCAGAAGAATAGATTTAGGGAGGAAGAAGGCTGTTAACAGTAGCATATGCAAGAGCGATGATGAAAGCCTGACCTACGGTGGTAGCAATGGAGATAAGTGCACAAATTTGAGGAACAAAATTTATGGTATAAAATCAATAGCTCCAGGTGGACTGGATAATGGGGTAAGAAGTGGGAGATGACTTTCAGATTTCTGACTAGAGAGATTAAAAAAAAAATATTTATTTTATTTTAGAGAGCGCATGCATGCGAGAGCGTGCGAACATGAAAGCGGGGGTGGGCGGGTAGAGGGAGGAGAGAAGCAGACTGCCCCATTCAGGGCTCGATCCCATGTCCCTGAGATCATGACTTGAACCAAAATCAAGAGTTGGACACTTAACCAACTGAGACACCCAGGGTGCCCCAGAAGGGCTTTTGATACCACTCATGGGGATAGAAAACTTCTGGAAGAGAGCTCATAGGTCAGGTTTTGGACTTAGGTTAAAATGGATGAGACATTAAAATGGATACTGAATAAGCAATTAGATATTGCAAGTCTGGAGCTAAAAGAGGCTCTCAGCTTTAAATGTCTAACCTTCCAGTTCTATGAGGTAGACATTTCTTTCCTTCATCTACAAATAAGAAAAACCCTAAATAAGTTCAGTAGCTTGGCCATGAATATCCAGGAGAGATTTGGGATTCAAAGCCAAGGTGGATGGCCTACAAGGTTCAAGTGTTTTCACTGCTATTGAACTTATCACTTTGTATCTCATATACAGCAGTCTTCAAATCTTAATTTCCTTATTTCTTAGCTCTCTGAGGTCACGATGCATGTCTGATTTATCTTTTGCCTTTACAGTACCCAGTTCAAGGCTCTGCATCTTGCAGAGTGTTCACTAAATATTATTTGTTGATCAAATCAAGGTTTGTTTATTTTCAAAAAATAAAATGAAAATCAAGTTTGCCTCCAAAAGGTAAGGGCTCCTATTCTGGCCATGTGGTACGCAGCTAGGAAAACCAGAAGACCAACTGAAGGGTTCTGGAGTAGCTGTCCCCTTTGCACACACATTCTCTCCCAGCATTATAGCTTCCTCTGTTAAATAACAGGGCCACAGTTAAGATTTGTCTTTTTCTCCCCACAAGAGTTAAAACTAAGAGAATACTGGAGAAACCTTATTTTAGCAATTTTTATAAACAGCTTATTTAGAAATTAGGTAAAGTGTCTGAGTCCTAGATATCCTGAAGGTCAATTTTCCTATCCAGTGTTTATAATACAAGGATACCTTAAGAAAATCTGACTTACAGAAAAAGTATTAACTTTCCCAATAATTCCCACTTTAAGTGACCTAACTTCATCCTTACTGCTCTCATGTAATTGCATAAAAGGAGGTTAATGATTTCATATGACTACCTCTACCTAAAAAGCCTTCAGACTGACTCTGAAGACATGGCTATATTTTGTTTCTTCAATGCTCAGCCTAACAGAAGCCAATTAATCAAAAATTTTGTCAATAAAATTTTCCCTACTAAAGTCAGACCACACCTACAACTAAAGCCAGTTATACAGGTCTGTTTGACCTATTCTTTAATAAAATGCAAGGGAATGAAAACTCCATCTAACCATAAGGTTAAAATGTATACTGCCAAAATCATATTTATCAACATAAATGGAATACAGAACTAATTAATTTCAATAAAAACTCCTCTTGCCCTCAACAAATCTCCCCCTCTAATCTCTTCTACTCCGTATTTCTGTTTTTCAATCTAGCAACTCAAAAGAAAATTAGAGGCTTAGTAAATGGTCCAATACCAGAAAACCGCATGTCCGATTAATCATTTGTGCCAATGTATTTTTATAGATGAATTCCCTAGTGGAACCAGAAAAGATTATTCTCAAACTTTAAATTTAAAAAGTTAAGTCCAATTTCAAACATTAATACGGTTATATTAGTTCTTTTCACCCTAATGTTTATTAGGGTCTCTATCTTAA